GCCTGGACGGGGCCGGGGGGGCGGGCGGGCTAGAAGCGCCGCTGCTCGCGGCGTCGACGTCGGCGGCGGCAGAGGCGGCGGAGGCGGCGGCGGCGGCGGCTGATCTGCGGGCGGTGAGGGTGGAGGGGGTAAACGGGGGCGTGAAGTCCACGGCGGCGGCGCCCCAGGGGCCGGGCTGAGGGGGGAGCGGACCGACGAGCGGGGCGCGAACGCAGGGTGTTGAAGGGGTGGAGAGATGCAGGCAAGGGTCGAAGACCAAGGGGCGGGGGCGTTCGGCGGTTGCGATACTGCAGCCTGAGTCAGCGCAGGTTGCTTGCTTGGTTTCCTCCGAATAGTGTGGCGGCGTGTCCATGCGGCCTTGATCCGTGCCGTTTACTGCCTTTGTTCTGCCTGTATGGAGGGTAGTTTTGGCACAGATGCACATGAATGCAGAGGGCCAGGGATGCGGGCAAACGCTGTTGGCATGTTCCCTGGTTGTGCCTGACGAGCGTTTCAACATTTGTGGCATGCACAACCTGCTGCTCTAATGCAGTTGATTGCTGTCGTTGTCTGGTGTAAGCATGGAGATGCATGCAGCAGTCCTGATTGGACATGTTGGTTGAAGCGCGGCCGCCCAGCAGCTGCAGTGCACAATGGGAAGCCCTGGCGGGGCGTCACGGGTTTTTGAACATCCAACAGCAAGGCCTTTGACAGCTGAGTGCAGCATGCTTGCCTGGATTGCTGTATTTGATGGAGGAGGAAGTGCGGCATGGCGAGTGCACCTTCACAACCCGTGTGGCCTTTTTATGCACCGAGCGGCACGCAGTCAGCTTTTGAGTCATCACTCGTGTGAGCAGCTGCGGGAGCTGCCGCATGGAACCAAATCGCCCGCACACCATTGTCCTGCTTTTCTTCTCCCACGATCATCATGGCGCCCTCTACTTCTGTCCCGCGGGCCAAGGCTCCTGTGAAGCGCTCCAACTCTGGCCCGATCTGGACGAAGAAGACGCCGCTGGCCGCTATCGTGGCTGCTGCCCTCATCGTTGTGGTCCTGTTGATTGTTTCGCAGCAAACTGGAGCCAGCAAAGCGGCCTCTGATGCTGTTGAGGGCAGCGACGCCACCAGCGGCGTGGTGGTTGATGTGATCAAGCAGGGTGAGGCTGCACGATCGGCAGCCATCGCAGGGGGCCACTGCACATAGACAAAGGCGCAGCTGGTTGCAAGCATTGGGGCCCTGGCAGGCAGCGCGGGAAGACTGCCTTCGAGCGACTGGGCGCGCGAGCGGTGCTGCTTAGTGTGCACATCTCCCGACTCCGCACGCCGGCGCGGCGGCTACAAGCTGGTGCTGCTTTGACCTGACGCCCCCTTCCCTCTTGCAGGCGACGGCAAGACATACCCCAAGAGAGGCCAGAGGGTGCGTGCAGGGGCCCGCCAACGAACGCAGCAGGGGCAGTTCCGACGACGTTTGACGCTGCTTTGCAACTGCCCGGCCCGACACCTCTGAGAGCCTGCGGTTGCCAGATCAGCGCTTCAGAGTGTGCACGGTCCTCCCCACCCTGCTCCGCCTGCCGCCTTGCCTGCTGGAATGTGTCTCACTTTACATCGCATCTCGCCGCGCCCCGGGCGCGCGCGCAGGTGACGGTGCACTACACCGGCACTTTGACCAACGGCCGGAAGTTTGACTCCAGCCGTGACCGTGGGCAGCCCTTCTCATTCGTCATCGGGGTTGGCCAGGTGCGACCGAGATCGAGAATGGATGATAAGTCAGGGAATTGTGCAACCGGAAATCGCATTGCAGCGTGCCGGGGGCAGATGTAATACTTGTTATGCGGGCGGTTCCGGCGACCGTGTGGCGCCGGCGCTTCTTTGTTTGGTGCTTCCAGCCAGCCATGCTGCCGGTTTACTATGGCAGCTTCAGGCCAGATAGTGACTCCCGTTTGCGGAAGCATTAGCAACGGTGGTCACCAGCAGCGAGGGCCCGCCATTCTGCCGTGCCTGGCAGCGGCGGGG